TGGATGGATGGATGGATGGATGGATGGATGGATGGATGGATGGATGGATGATAGATGGATAGATGATAGATGGATAGATGATAGATAGACAGATGATAGAGCAGTGTTTCTCAACCTGGGCAACTTGAAGATGGGTGGACTTCAACTCCCAGAATTCCCCAGCCAGCCATGGAAATTTCAGATTTCATATAAATATTTATAAGCGACAGCAGGATTTTGCCCGGCTTTGGTCTGTGGTCAGCTGTCCTGGGAAGACGGTGGAAGGGAGGTCGGCCTACTAAAAGTAGGGAAGCAAAGAAAGAGAGGGAGAGGATTCTTCCCGGAGGCGGAAGGCACGAACCTCACACCGGTAGCAGTGGACGTGGAAGTCGCGGTCCAAGGCCACGATCCGGACGGTTTCCTCCTGACCCTGGGCAGGCATGATGGGCTCCTTGCAGACGGAGCATCGTGGAGCAAATTTCCTGGGCGGAAAAAAGGTGACCGTGAATACTTGGGTATCCGAAAGAGGAAGAAAGCTCCCGAGAAGCATACATTCATAGCTTGATTAGATCAGATCAGATTAGATTAGATTAGAACTCCAGAGGGCTAAAAAAGTTGGCAGGTATGAACATACAATCAAAGCTCCACCCTTTTTACATGCGCCATGTGCATATTAACAAGGGGTGAGGTTTATCATAGTCATGCCCGCCACGTTGACTTTTTTGACCCCTCTCAAGCTCTCCACCATCTCCTGCCTCTCTCCACCCAACCTGGTTTACCAAGTCGGGTCAAGACCTCGCGGCTGCATTTACACCACCTGCTAACCTTGGTTAGCACTGACCTGGGTTCAGTTCTTTGGGGCTTGGTGTATTGGACATACATAACCTGTTGGGAAAGTGTATGGTCGAGGGTATTGCGCAAACCCAGAAAATGGGTTAACTCAGTCTGCTGGGTGAATGCAGCCGTTGGCTGGGTTAGTTCAACATGCTAGATGAGGCTAATGTGGAGTTGTTAATTCAGTCGATTGTGGAAATGGTAGAGGGGTATGGAGGTGACCTTGAAGAAGGAGCACATCTGCTTAGCCCGAAAAGACAGGAAGGGGTGAGGAAGAAACTCAAGATTGCCCCGCCTTGAGCCTCTTGGGTATTAGACGGAGGGAGAGAAAATCCCTGTTAGGCTTTCAAGATTCTGTTACTATACCCTATACCAGGAAAGCAGAGTTTCAGACATCTTCATACCCCTCTTCCGAAATTTAGCACTGCCTTAGCATTTGGGGTATGCCAAGCCACCAATAAATTAAGCCATATTAGAGTGTCTATATTTTATGAATACAGGCCTTGTGTTCTGTTCACCTGGGTTCAGCATTTTGTGTGAACCCGGCCCACGCTGATTTTTCTTTCACGTACAACCACCCCACCCCTTGGGGGGGGGGTTCTCCATTTCCCTTTCCCCTTTCCCCAGCCCTCCAGGAAAAGTCTTGCATCCCACCTGTGGAAATCCTCAATGCAGTGAATGTTCCCCCCGGCGTCCACGGTGAACGGGATGCCATCCAGGCTGCGGTTGCAAATCACACAGGTGAAGCAGTGGGGGTGGTAAGCTTTGCCGGTGGCCCGCAGGATGCGCTCCATGATGGGCTTGGCACACACGCTGCATTGTTCCAGGGTATTCTGTAGCAAGGAAAGAGAAATGGGAACTGGTCAGCAACATGCAGCCACCCGGCCGTCGCCTGGCCAAATTCTAGCACCGTCTATGTTCTGGAGCATTTTGAGAAGGCTTTGCATCCACACACCCGTTTGTCACAGGCCATTTCTGTGCTTTTATACTACCCCTTCTCTTGTATTTCTATCCTGCCAGAATTCACACGGTCCATTTGAACCCTCAATGGCAGGAAACTCGTCTCCTCAGGCCAACGTTTCTCACTCTGCTGAAGAAACCAGGTTTCCTGGATGCGCAAGGCCAGTTGTGGACGGCAGGACCTGGAACCAGGCTGCTCGCGGCCCTGAACAGAGAGTGGAAGGCGGTTTATCGCCTCCCAGAACGCTGCTGGACAAGGTTGCCGAAGCAAAGTCCAGCTCTGAAAAAAGCTGAGCACCCAGACTCACTTTCTGCATAACCGCGTCGGCTACTTAGTCACATTCAGACAACAAACTTAATGGAATCCATTTTCTAGGTTCTTACCATACGATGAACTATAAATGGTCCATATGATCTTGGCAACAATATGGAATTGCTTTGCTACTGCTTTCTTCTCGGCTGACTGCTCAATTCCTGGCCTAATGTACACCATTGGGGTTACCTGGTGGTCCCCCATCCTCCTATTTACTGAGCCTCCCCTGGCTTTGCTTTTCTGCCGTCAGTCAGGGTCAGATCGAAGCTGCCTCCTGCTGTGGACTGTTTTTAAAGAGCCTTTTCAATGGAGGGAAACGAGTTGATGAACAGGCACCTCCACGAACCTCTATATACAAGCAGAGTATACCTCCAAATACAAGGTAGTGGAAAATGAGGACATTCCTCTCAAGCCGGGCTCAAATGGCCTGGGAGGGCACTTGGATCTTTTGAATCGGCTGAGCCCCCCGGCAAAGGTCAGGGTGGGATCCTGCCAGTGTGCCATCACTGATGCCCGCTCAACTGCCCTCTCGTAACCCAAATGGGGCTCAACAGCCACTTTCCTTCTGTTCTGCAAACTTCCCCTGCTGGCGGAAATGGGTGGCGGAACCAGCTTGCAGGGTCATAACGAAAGCGTTTCCAGAAACCAATAATTAGCTGGTCCCAAACTGGGGGCACTCTTTGTGGGCCAGGAGGAAAAAAATCGGATTCCGAGGGCCCCTTTTCCAACTAACCAATATTATCCCAAGGCAGGAGCTTTCATGATCTGCAGATCCCTTCCTCAGATGCAGAGACTGGCCACATGGACGTAGGATTTAAATCACAGTTTGCAATTATTTTGTTCTTATATTTTGTTCCCCTGACTGTCCTTTTGGAACAAGGGCTCCTAATGGTTTTGCAAAAAGTCTGGGGCCCCTTTCCTGACTCACCCATTTTATTCCAAGGCTTTCTTAGTCGGAAAAGCTGCTCCCAGACTCCTCCTCGTTTCTTTACCACTGGAGACTAACACAGCTTTCTTCCTGCTACGGCTTGAGAGATTCTCGCGCATTCAAAACAAACAACAGACACATCTGAACTAAGAGCGGGAAGGTGCATTTGCATCTCGGATTTTCCCAGGGGCACACGCAGAGCTGAGTGTCAGCAGGCCAGAATATCACCCTTTGGCAGGCAGAAAGGAGGGTGCTTTGGTGCATGTGCAGAATGCCTTCCCACCGCTAAGAAATCCCACTTACTAACCCGTGGAATTGGGACAACCCTGCAACGTGGTGTCTTCCAGCTGTGTTGGGACTGCAAATCCCAGAATCCCGAACCATGCCAAGGACTCTGGGTGGGGGAGGTCTGGCTCCGGGCAGAGCCCCCAGAGAGGAGAAACCAAGGCGCCCAGGGTCCTTCCCTGCCCACGCCTGTGTCTCCAGCACTTAAGATGTCAAATCACAGCTGGCCGCTTGGTTCCAGCTGGCGCGGCGTCCAGCCAGAACGGATTGACATCTTGGCATCCCTGGGTCCCTCTCCTGTTCATCCCAGATGAAACAAAGCAAATGCCACACCAGACAAGCTCCACCCTGGATTCTTGCAGGATAAACTGAAGGCTGCTGCCCAAAAAGAACTGGCTGCGAAGATAATCCATCCTGTCTCCTGCAAGTTGTGGTGGTGGTTGTTATTACCGATTCCTATGGCCACCCATCTCACCAATGCAACTCTAGCAGCTAACAAAAATTAAATTATAATATAAATACAATGTACAAGTAGTCCTCATTTAGTGACTGCCTCGTACAGCGACTGTTCACAGTTGTGACGGTGATGAAAAAGTAACTTTGTGACCCATCCTTGCATTTATGACCTTCGCGGGTCTGTAAAGGAAAGGAAAGCTGAAGTCAGATCGTAAGCACAGTTGCGGTTTCACTTAGAGACCGCCTGTCAGGTTCAGCCCAAAGAACTCCACGAGACAATGCAAATTCAGTTCCGTTGCGTTTATTAGCTTCCATCTCAAGACAGAAAACTGAACCCACGTTCCCAAGCCAGCCAGCCACCACCACACCGTGAGTTCCTTAGGGAGGTGCCAGCCTCATCTTCTTGAACTTCCCACGCTCCTGTTGGGGGCTAAGAACACGCTTATCTCCCCGAGCCTGGCCTTCATAAGTCCATTCCATCACATCACTTCACTTAACAACCGAGTGGCCCGTCTCAATTGTGGGGTCGTTAAGCGAGGACTACCTGTATGTTAAAAAAATATTTAAAAATACCATACCCAACTAACTAACAGAAGGTGTCTCCTGAAAACACCATTTAGCACGTAGGTTCTTGACCCCCATGCTAGGAAAACAGCAGGTCTTCAAGGCCAGAGTTATCTGGGCACTGCTTAGCATCCCCCCTGGTACCCCCACTCCACTCCTCCATCTGAGATGCTCTTCCTGCTCCCCTTTCTCCCTGCATTGCCAACATTTTACTGATTGATTGATTTAAAGCAGCATTTCTTAAAGTGTGGTCTGAAGACCCCTGGGATCCCCCAAGACCCTCTCACGGGTCCACAAAATCAAACTTATTTGCCAGATATTGAAGGCATTTGTAAAAATTTAAAACAATATCACTCTTCTCCTTCTTATTTTTTTTATTTGTTAAAAAATATAGGCTTTTTCATGAAAAATATTTTATTTATGTTAATATCTAATGGGTTTACCATTGTTATTTTTATAAGATTCAATAAATAAATATTCTATGAGTGCACCAATTTTAATTTTTAATAAGGTAAATATCGATAAGTATAACTCACACAAATAAAAGCTCTTTTGGGGTCCTCCATCACTTTTAAAAGTGGGAAGAGGTCCTGACAGCAAAAATTTTATGAAACGCTGATTTAAGGAATGCCCGACTCCCGAACAGCGCCAGGTGCTTTACATCCCCCCCCCAAAAACGCTAGAACAACATAAGAATAAAAGGAAAAAGATGTCTATCCAGAAAAAGAAGAACCGTATCAACGAAACAAAATCTTACAGGGAGACAGAAATTCTGCTTACAAACTCCTTGGTGCAAGATTTGGAATTCTCTGCTTGTGTTCACCTTATTTTGAGGATAAGCAGGAAGGTTTTCTCTTTTCTTTTTATTCAGCTGCTGTTCCTTACCTCCCCAGGAAGTCTCAACTAATAAAGTTTGCTGTGGTCGAATAAATTGGTGGAGTTGTTTGGAAGGATGACTCAAACACACAGATGGGGAAGCGCGAGAAGACGGCTGCGTTTGCAAATGACTTTAAAACCATCTCTAGGCACCTGATGACTCACTGTTTTTGCATGCTCACATATTAACATTTGGTGACCCGAGGAAAGAAGCATCTGTAGAGAAAGCCAGATTCACAGAGCAGAATGACATTTCTTGGAGATGTCCCAGCAGGCACCATTTAGAACATCATTTTCCTCCTGATGTTTCAGGCAGCCTGAAACCCCCCCTCTCCCCCCCTGCAGCCAACCATGAACATCTAAGAAAACTGCACCGGTTTGCAGGCAGATGGAAATGCTCACTCAAATCATTCTGATTAAGGGAAGTCATCCGACAACTTTGCTGAAAATACTAGGGCCTCTAACACTCGAGAAGAATTACACAGATAAGGAAAGTGAAAGGACGAATGTCCTGCATGCTTGCACACAGAGGTGCCCCAACACAAACCCGAGAGCTGATGGGCAAGATCAATTTCCCATTTTGCCTTCTTGGACAGATGGACCTCATATCCCATGTCACTGGAACATTTCCTGAATGCTGATCTATCATGTGGCCACGAAATCTAACCACATGGTTACCAGGGCTATCATATACATTGATTTGCAGCTGTTTGCTTCATGTTCCTTGTGCCGAGCACGTGGATGAAGGTATGAATGGGCATATATGAAAAATGGAGTCCTTGAGGTTCCTCAAAGCAAGCCATAAAGGTAGGAGGTTGTACTCTGGAAGCTTTCTGATTCTGAAGCAGGGAGAAAAACTTCAAAGTGAAGACTTCTAAGAAGACACTATGAAAGAAGAGGTGGTCCCCACATGAGCTGGAGATGGCTGCGGCCATCAGGTGGACGAGGGGCAGGACACATGAGAAGAGGACCCATCTGGGGTTGGCCAAGTCTTGTTCAGAGTTATAAAAGGGGAAGGGGACTGTAGTCCTTGGGAACCACCGCCACAGACTGAGGTTCTGTACATGGTGGGTGTCCCACTTTGATTTTTCGAGAACTGAATCCTGGCCTGGTCAGCTGGACTTCTGAGTTAGAGCCATAGGCAGGGATGTGCAGACGTGTGACGAAGTGAGTGCTTTGGTTCAAAAATTAAAGCAATAAAAATTGTACATCTGCACTCCTTCTGGATGAAGAAAAGAACAACAAGCAACACAGGAGGACCTTCTTTGAAACCCTCCATGTGACACCAAGAGAATCAACAAGGCTACACTCCTTTATCCGGTTCCTTCTCTGTTCCTTCACCGATGGACTTGACCAAGCCTGGCTTTGTCCTAAGAAAAGTTCTGAAATCCAGAATGAAATAGACCCACAACTCCATTTTATTACCAAAACACACACACACACACACACAC